CTACGACCAAAGCCACGGCAGAGCGCACAAACTCCTACACGCAATTCTAGATTTGAAGCTTTCGTGACTGCAAGGATTCATACTCTTAGTTCTTTCGGTAAAGTCACGTAAAGCAGTTGCCGAGTCGGGAACTGAACTCGGCTTCTCCTTGCTCGGGGGCACACACACGTGTGTTATCCCTGACGTCACACTACACTCCTTAGGGGCCCCATACATTTAGTAGGAACGCAAAAAGCTGTCAAAACTGGACCCCTCCTCCCTGTACGCACGCGGACTTTTTACACCCCACCCAACCTGCGTACGTACGCCTGACCCCCCTCCCATCCTATAGAACGGCCGATATTTAATCCACGCAGAAACGATCAATGATTAATAATATTAACGTGTTTAAGCAAACACATAGTCCACCGCCGGCTGCGTTATTATCGAGGCTTCACCCCCCCCCCCGTTTCCTATGCTACGTACATTGTCAGTAGACCCCCCCCCCCATACGCAGCGTACGCATTTGGGTTCACCCCCCTCCATGCGTTACGTACTAAACGGACGGGGGCCCCGCGCCTTGTAAACATCAATAAACCACACGATTGCAACAGCCACTGGGCCGAGCCAGCTCGCACAGGTGGCTAAAGTACCAAGAAAAACAAACAGACACCACCCCCCTCCCCCCCACGAGTTGTACTTGAACTGTCGGGGTCACAGCGAGACGATGAAATTTGAGACCAATGTTGTTGTTGCTGCTGGGTGCAGCAGCTCCCCTGATGCTTATTCTGTTACAGCCGCGCCACTTGGTGTCAACCCCAAGAGTTGTTCACGCGTCAACTCATTCACGTTCGCGTGTGCTTTAGAGATGCCTCACCTGGCAAGTCCAGCCATGGGTGCCTTCGCTGCCTGCTCAAAACAATCACAATCATTGTGCACTGCCCCTACCCGCACCGACCAGGGTGGTGAAGTATGACCAAATATCCGTCAAGGCCCGCAAGGAGTCCTTCATCATCCAGCAGTTGACTTGACATCACGGCCTGTACATCTACACAATGTGGCTTCCCTCGTCACAGTAAGGTCATCATCTGACATTTCTATCCACTTCTGGATGAAGACCAAAGTTGGATTTAAAAAAAAAAGAAACCAAGGCCATTGTTGCCATGTCGGCGAGTGGGTGGAACGTTGGCAGTGGTTAAGCGCTCTGAGCTAGAAATCCGAGTTAGATTCCAGGCCACGAATAACTTCAGTCGCGATCGATGTCCGAACCCGACCTTCGCATCCAGCGTGTTGGAAAGTGCGGTGAAGTACGATTCATTGCATACATGTACACTTATACGATATTTAAATGTTGTGTATACGTGTTTGCCGTGTCAGCGGACACCCTGGAAACCCTTGCTAAAAGCGAGATATTCCATCTCAAGGGAGTGTCAATAACTCAAATAAACAAGGCATCCCCCATGACCGACACTGCGTGGCACTGCCACAGGGCTGCACGTGCAGTGCCCCATCACAACTAAAACAAGAACGCGGAGCTACAGATACTAGACAAAAACAAGTACAGTGAGCACGTGCTCGCGCTGGGGACACGTGCTGACGTCACCACGAGTCACGTGTGGGACAGTGCGTAAAGGGGCGGGGAGGTGGTGGGGGGGCGTGCTGCCAGAGCCAATCGCAATGCACCAATGGAAGTTCACGTGACGTGTCAGCAGCCAATGGGCGCCACGAACGGCAGGCATGCCGATGCGCTCCACAAAACGTAAACACGTGGTGACTGACGCGTGCTTCCTTGACAGCTGACGGGAGAAGCAGGGGCAGAGGCCGAAGCAAGGGGCAGCAGCAAGGAAGAAGCAGAGGTCGAAGCAAGGGGCAGCAGTGAGGAGCAGGATTTGAAGAGAGAAGCAAGCAAGAAGCAGATGCTGAAACAAGGAGATGGCAGCAGCTGACGGGAGAATAACCTGAAACAAATACGCAGTGGCTGAAGCAAGGAAGCAGCGAGTATCAGTACAAGTTTAAGCAATCGCTTAAGTCGAGAGATGCATAAAAACCATCCCTAGAATCAAACAGCAACAAGGGCAGAATAATTAACAGCGGCACAATGATTGGAAGCAGAAGCAGCATAACACCGCAAAAGCACGGGGGCAGTTCGCCTCCCCACTGCATCAGAATCATCAGAGGCACAGATAAATGAACCGGCAGCGGCGTGGAAGCATCGACAGCAGCGTGGAAGCATCGACAGCAGCAGCAGCAGCGTGGAAGCATCGACAGCAGCGTGGAAGCATCGACAGCAGCGTGGAAGCATCGACAGCAGCAGCAGCAGCGTGGAAGCATCGACAGCAGCGTGGAAGCATCGACAGCAGCAGCAGCAGCGTGGAAGCATCGACAGCAGCGTGGAAGCATCGACAGCAGCGTGGAAGCATCGACAGCAGCAGCAGCAGCGTGGAAGCATCGACAGCAGCGTGGAAGCATCGACAGCAGCAGCAGCAGCGTGGAAGCATCGACAGCAGCGTGGAAGCATCGACAGCAGCGTGGAAGCATCGACAGCAGCAGCAGCAGCGTGGTAGCATCGACAGCAGCGTGGAAGCATCGACAGCAGCGTGGAAGCATCGACAGCAGCAGCAGCAGCGTGGAAGCATCGACAGCAGCGTGGAAGCATCGACAGCAGCAGCAGCAGCGTGGAAGCATCGACAGCAGCGTGGAAGCATCGACAGCAGCGTGGAAGCATCGACAGCAGCAGCAGCAGCGTGGAAGCATCGACAGCAGCGTGGAAGCATCGACAGCAGCAGCAGCAGCGTGGAAGCATCGACAGCAGCGTGGAAGCATCGACAGCAGCAGCAGCAGCGTGGAAGCATCGACAGCAGCGTGGAAGCATCGACAGCAGCGTGGAAGCATCGACAGCAGCGTGGAAGCATCGACAGCAGCAGCAGCAGCGTGGAAGCATCGACAGCAGCGTGGAAGCATCGACAGCAGCGTGGAAGCATCGACAGCAGCGTGGAAGCATCGACAGCAGCAGCAGCAGCGTGGTAGCGGCAGCGTGGCCGCATGGCCGCAGCACGAGGCGGGTCCCCTCCCCCGCGTTATGCAACGAAACTCCGCTCCCGCTTTGTTTTTCAACTTTTAATGTACAACTCCCCTCGTGTTTGCTGCCAGTTATAACGATTGGTGCGAAACGTGGCCCGCCTCTCGCTACAATTCTCACAAAAGCGCATTTAAGCAGACTGTTACGTATTTTTTGTTTACAAAAGTTATCATTATACCAGAGAAGGTGGTGTTTGTTTTGCTGAAGGGACCCGAGTCTGAACCCAGAACGCAGCTACCCACCAGGGCGGTGTTCCTGGCTCAACCCCAACCCCCTCATCCAAAGCTTCTCAGTTCGAGCCAGAACCCTGTTGGCCAAATAAGTCCGGGGTCATGGGCTGCAGGCCAACTCTGAAGTCTTTAAACTATTTATTATTTAGCCGGGTAAGGCTCAATTAGCTGCTATACAACTCGTTGTCTTTCAGAAGCGGCCTGGCCACAACGACAAACTCAACGAAGTGGCCCATCACCACGTGGACATTTACATCGGCCAAGTGCTCGTAACGTGCCGTGTCGATTCGACGAAACGTGGTGGTGGTAGCCCGTGTGGGGGGGGGGGGGGACATGGAGAATAATCCACGATGGTCAAAAGGGCGAGAAGAGAGATAGATAGACAGCGCACACTCCGAATACACAGCAGCAGCAGGCGTCGTCAGGATCCAACCCACGACCTCCTGCGTCCCAGGCGAGGGAGTTAACATCTCCCCGGGTCTCGGTTATTAAACTCATTATCATCTCGGCTCCCCCACCCTCCCCAAGCTGTAACAACGTGTTGGTGGTGGTTGTGAATGACGGGTCCTGGTCGAGTGAGAGTTGTTCGGCGTGTGCCTGCGGTTACAGGCGTCTCCTGGGTTCGAGCTCTGGCCCCAGGGCACAACAAGACGCGATCCCCTCCCGCCTTGAAACCTCGACATCGCGACGAGATTCCACCCCCCATCACCACCACCCACAAGTTAGAGGCGAGGCGACCCCACGAGATTCGCAACAACAACAACCACAACAACCACAACCACAGCAGCAGTGTGAGAGTTTGGTGCTTATGGTGGTTGATGTTGGTGCGGGTGTTGGTGGTGATGTTGGTGGTGATGGTGGTGATGATGGTGGTGATGTTTGTGATGATGGTGCTGATGTTTGTGCTGATGGTGGTGATGTTTGTGATGATGGTGGTGATGGTGGTGATGTTTGTGATGATGGTGGTGATGTTTGTGATGTTGGTGGTGATGTTTGTGATGGTGGTGATGTTTGTGATGGTGGTGATGTTTGTGATGGCGGTGGTGATGTTTGTGATGATGGTGGTGATGTTTGTGATGATGGTGGTGATGTTTGTGATGTTGGTGGTGATGTTTGTGATGTTGGTGGTGATGTTTGTGATGATGGTGGTGATGTTTGTGATGATGGTGGTGATGTTTGTGATGATGGTGGTGATGGTGGTGATGATGGTGGTGATGTTTGTGATGGTGATGTTTGTGATGTTGGTGGTGATGTTAATGTCGATGGTGTTGCTGATGGTGGTCGTTATATTGGTGATGACGACGGTGATATTATTGCAGGCTGATGATGGTGGTAGTGCTACTCATGATACTCCTGATGACGCTAGTGATGAAGACGGTGCAATAGCAGTCGCGATGCTGGGGCTGGTGATACCAGCTGGTGTCTGCTGCTGACCGCGCTAGTAGCCAGAGATGCCGACCATGATGCAACTTGTGACCGGCCATGTGCTGGCCACAGTGCCGATAACAATTCTACTGCCGATGATACTGCTGATGACAGTCTTACTGCCGAGCGTGTGCCTGCTGACGATAGCGTTTACTGCGGATGAGAGTGGCGCTTGACGACGATGATGGTGGTGTTCGTGGTGGTGTAGATGATGGTGGTGTTCGTGGTGGTGTAGATGATGGTGGTGTAGATGATGGTGGAGGGGGCCACGCGTGGCGCCGCCGCACCCCCAGGCGTGGTGGAGAAGAAGGTGCCGCCCGGCGTGGTGCAGTAGTCGTGAGGTAGTTGAGAGGCGTCGCTCAGCAGCACCCTCCGCGTGGGGATGGCCCGGCTCTCCGTGTGCGAGCGGCTGCACGACATGGCGACTTCTTGTGCTGCTGCTACTGCTGCTGTTGCCTCTCTCCCTGATGCCGCCCGAGCCAAGGCCTCGAACCCGCCCCCCACCTCCACTTCACTCCTCCGCGTGGCCCCGCCCCCAGTGTAGACACGCCCCCAGTGTAGACACGCCCCTAGTGTAGACACGCCCCCAGTGTAGACACGCCCTTAGTGTAGACACGCCCCCAGTGTAGACACGCCCCTAGCGTGGCCCCGCCCCTAGCGTAGACACGCCCCCATTCAAAAGTACCGCTCCACCCCCACGTGGTACCCCGCCCCCCACTTCACTCCCCGCGTGGCCCCGCCCCTCTCTCTAGTCCCGCCCCCCACTTCACTCCCCCGCGTGGCCCCGCCCCCTCCTAACTACCGCCCCCCGCCTCATCTCGAACGTGACGTCACAGACAATGCAATAATATTTTATTTTTCTACCTACGCGACTTTACCGAAAGAACCAAAGAGTATGGATTCCTGCAGTCACGAAAGCTTCAAATTAAGATTGCAAGAATAGGAAGATGCAATCCAGGGACTTACGAACGAGTTTGGTTTCCAGAGGTCTGTTCGTGAGTCCAACTTTACAAACCCTGTCGATTCCAAACACGTTGTACGGCGTCTACACAAAACACGGGGAATGGCTTTAAAAGTTGTATAATTTCATGTAGACGTAGATGCCACTGGCTCTTCACGTTCTGCAGATGTAGATGCCACTGGTTCTTCACGTTCTGCAGATGCCACTGGTTGTTCACGCTCTGCAGGTGTAGATGCCACTGGTTCTTCACGTTCTGTAGATGTAGATGCCACTGGTTCTTCACGTTCTGCAGATGTAGATGCCACTGGTTCTTCACGTTCTGCAGATGTAGATGCCACTGGTTCTTCACGTTCTGCAGTAGTAGATGCCACTGGTTCTTCACGTTCTGCAGATGTAGATGCCACTGGTTCTTCACGTTCTGCAGATGTAGATACCACTGGTTGTTCACGTTCTGCAGATGTAGATGCCACTGGTTCTTCACGCTCTGCAGATGTAGATGCCACTGGTTCTTCACGCTCTGCAGATGTAGATGCCACTGGTTCTACACGTTCTGCAGATGTAGATGCCACTGGTTCTTCACGCTCTGCAGATGTAGATGCCACTGGTTCTTCACGCTCTGCAGATGTAGATGCCACTGGTTCTTCATGTTCTGTAGATGCCACCACCGCCATCTATTGCGCGGCGGTTGATCTTGTGACTCGATCCGAACAGGCAACTGGACATCCGGACAGGTTTGTTCGTATCTCTGAAAGTTTGTAAGTCGAATGTTCGTAAGTAGAGGAGTCTCTGTACACATGTATCATAGGCTACATACAGTCGTGGCATTGAGTCGGCACCACGGACATAAGTTCAACACATTTGTCAATGACACTGCCTCATGTGACAAATTAACTGAGCAGGCGATTCACCTCCACATCATATCTGTCTCTTCGCGAAAAATAAAAGTATTTGTATTACACATCCCATCGCTTTATGGGGGTGCATTATTTCAGCAGTCTTGGCTCAACTGACTGCTGATGAAACACTGAATGCGAGTCATTGGGTCTCTGTGTGCGTCTGTGGGTCTCTGTGTGCGTCTGTGGGTCTCTGTGTGCGTCTGTGGGTCTCTGTGTGAGTCTGTGGGTCTCTATGTGAGTCTGTGGGTCTCTGTGCGAGTCTGTGGGTCTCTGTGCGAGTCTGTGGGTCTCTGTGCGAGTCTGTGGGTCTCTGTGTGAGTCTGTGGGTCTCTGTGTGAGTCTATGGGTCTCTGTGTGAGACTGTGGGTCTCTGTGTGCGTCTGTGGGTCTCTGTGTGCGTCTGTGGGTCTCTGTGTAAGACTGGGACTCTATGCGAGTGTATGGTTCTCTGCTGGTATATGGGTCTCTGCTAGTCTATACTGGACATTGTTTCTCTGTATTGCGTCTAAACGACGCATTTCAAAAAAGTCCAGAAAGTGGCCTATTTAGGTTATAATCCGATTGACTACTCTGATTAGGATTCGGGTTGTTTTCAGAATCGTCTACCGGTTCAGGAACCGGTAACCGATTCCGGTGGAATGTTCGTAATGAGTGCACAGATTGGAACTTGCACCATCGTTTGCACCTGCCGCACCGGGAGATGGAATCGAACCGTCCGACTCTGGATGATGTCCAGCGAGCCACGAGCCATCATCAACAACAACACGGGCAGCAGCCCTCCTCCTCCACCCCAACAGCGGTGTCGCTCTGCTCACTGCGCGAGCGAGACTCTTCTCTGTAAGTGCGACCACGCAGTAGGTAGGGAGCCTCTGTCGGTATTTTGTTCAGTAATGAAAGAAAACCCCATTTCATCCCCACCCGTGGTGTTAGGGTGAGGGCTAAAGTTTGATGACCGTGTGTGCCTTCATGGGTGCTTCCCCCCCATCCCCAGACACTCTGCAAGTGCCGGCGGTGAACTTTACACCACCCCCTGGCGTGTTTACTTACTCGACGACGTCCTCCATACAACGTGGTGGTGGTGGGGGGGCCTCCCGTTTCATAGCTGTCACAATAACAACGCCCACGTGAGCTTCAGCCCGGCGGTAATCAGCATTGTGTGCTGATAGCCATCCACCCATCAGTCAGCGCCTTCATTGCCACACTGGGGAAGGGGGGTAATCGATGACGTCTATCTAGAAAATGGAGTTCATGGCCATGTGTCAGCACACAATAAAAAAACACTCATCAGGAATATAAAGACAATTAAATGCAAGTACTGTACAGAAATACATATCGTACTTTGGCTTACTAATGAATAAACCTTGAAAGGAATCATTTATACGAAAGTTTGTTGATAAAGTTCACGTGGCTATTGTATTGGTTAATACAAATACAACTATTATGAACAGTTATACAACCAGTTTAACACGTAGGCTCTCGCGACTAATATCATTCATAATAGAGGTTGTTTTGGGTTAGATCGCGTAAATATGTCGTTAAAACCCGCCACCACCCGACACAGCCAACTAGGCTTGTCATTTACATTTGTAAATGTTGTGGCTTGGCTCTCCAACACACCGGTGGAAGGACAAGTTCAAAGGGCTCTCATAATGCACGTGCAATAATGTACGTTGACTTAGTCACCCCCTATCATTGCGTAAGAGCGCAGAAGCGTGGTCACCACATCTACGGCTTTACGTAAGGAACGAAGCAGGTGGACTTCTCCACAAATCTGTCTGTCGCCTGATGAAGCTGGTTGTAATTACTGGCGAAACGTCGTACTCAGATTCTGAATGTTGTGGCTTGGCACTCCAACACACCGGTGTGCTGTACTAGTATACTACACTATACTACTATACACTGCACTATACACTACACTATACACGACTATGCACTAGTGCTGCACTAGTGACGAATTGGCCACGTTGTTTACGTGACAACCCTTACTAGTTGGCTGTGTTGGGTGGTGGCGGGTTTAACGACACATTTATATATTTACGCGATCTAACCCAAAAAAAAACCTCTATTATGGAGTAATACAGCTCTGTGCCATCCACCTCTTGTATGAAGGCCTTCCTTCCCAAGCCGCGTCAGTCATGGGGGCTGTTTGACCATACTTCACCACGCCGGTCAGTGCGGGGGTGGTGGGGGTCAAGGGGAGCGGTGGTGTAGCAGTTAGCGCGCTGCGCTGCGAATCCGGCGGCCCGGGTACGATTCCCACTCATGGCCAACACTGAGTGACGATTATCCGAACCGGTCCTTTGCCTCCCCTAGGTCTACTCAGCCTCAAATGAGTACCTGGTGCGATGTGTAAACATCGCCACTGGGGAGACAAAGGCGGCCGGGCGTGGTGCTGGACACCCACCCCCTCGTGTGCCGTGCCGGCCTTCATAGGTGCTCGCTGACAGCACTTGCCCCAATAGTCTGTAAAGGCTACACGGGGGGATCTGTCTTTGTAGCACACTCAGAGAACAGAGTTGCACGAGTTGGTGCGAGTGGCCTTGTGCGCGTGTCTTGTCGTTGCAGCTCTGGTGGTACGAGAACGGCGTGCAGCACTTGCCCAACAGCAGTCTGTGAAGGCTATACGGGGGATCTTTGTCTTGTTGGTGGGGGTCTCACTCTGAATGCTGCTGCTGCTGCACCGCCCTCTGCAGGCCGCCACGTGGCCTCCCACCCATTCATGCGGGTTACTCAACGTGCAGAAGCTTACTGCACCAAAACATATACATCAAGTACACAATCACAATGGCGTTAACACACGTTTTATATATAAACACATTATGTATAAATCCTGAATTTTGTATATATTTAAGCTACGGTAGCGAGATGTTAACTCTCTCGCCTGGTGTACAGGTCGTGTGGGTTCGATCCCGACCCTGACGCCTGCTGCTGTGTATTTGGAGTCTGCGCGTCTCGTTCTCTCTCCATGGTCAGGTGGATGTTTCTCCGGGTCCTCCGCTGTGTTCATCCCCTCCATATTTATAAACACGCGTTGAGTCTCGGCTGCTCGACATGTGCACGCGATAAGCGATTGTTTGTGATCGCCAGATCGCGTCTGAAAAAAATAGTTCAGTCGGCCTTACCTGGAAGAATAAAAACATCTTTTAAAATAGTTTTATTTAAAATCGAATCGTCATGTATGCATGTTGAACTTCTTTCGCACCGGACGTAGCCAACCTTGCTAATCGAAGATTCGAAGGTGCCGGGGAAGAACAGACTTAACACAAATACGCAGTTCTGAAGAATATCAGTTTACAATCGAAATATAAAAGTGCCCTGCTAAGTGGATAACCATCGAACAAATAAGGTCATTGACGGTCACAAGTCGTGCTTCTGCGGCCGTGTCTCTCTCCCCGTGGATGTTTTTCCCTCCGGGTCCTCCGGGTTCTCCCCCTGCACGCTGAGAATGGACATCGTGCGCGTTTTACATTTCCACGTGGCGCTGATGCAGCTGCTGATGCACTGCTGAGAAAGAGATCCATCGCTCAGTGGGCCTTACCTGGCACAGTTTGTTTTGTACTCTTTGGTTCTCTCGGTAAAGTCACGTCGGTAGACTTCACCGAAATAACCAAAGAGTATGGATTCCTGCAGTCACGAATGCTCCAAATCCCAACATTTTTTTATTTTTAAATACGAACAAAGCTCTCGAGCCGCCCCGCCCCCTAGAATCTTCGCCCCGCCCCTAGAATCTTCGCCCCGCCCCCTAGAATCTTCGCCCCGCCCCCTAGAATCTTCGCCCCGCCCCCTACAATCTTCGCCCCGCCCCCTACAATCTTCGCCCCGCCCCCTAGAATCTTCGCCCCGCCCCCTAGAATCTTCGCCCCGCCCCCTAGAATCTTCGCCCCGCCCCCTACAATCTTCGCCCCGCCCCCTACAATCTTCGCCCCGCCCCCTACAATCTTCGCCCCGCCCCCTGAGGGTGAGAGGCCGCCGCGTGACGTCACAGACAACGCGGAAGCGAACGGAAGCCAAAGGCGCAGCCCTGCAAGTGCTTCTCGCTCCCGCCGCCACTGCTGGCGCAAGGGCTCCCACGAGTGGCCGCTAAAGAGACCCCCCCCCCCAACCACTGTCTCTGCTGAAGCGCGTTTGACTTGGCCTACTCTTCCTCGCTGGCCAGACAAGGAGGTAGGAGCGCGCACGCCCTGCCCATCTGTACCGCGCCGTACCCATCTGCGCTGCGCCGTTGCCCATCTGTAGCGCTGCCGGGTGCAGGCAGAGATGATTTAACTCGGCCTATGTAGGTCAATGAGTGTGCCTTTGTCTCCTGGTGGTGGTTGTTGTTGACGGGGCTGCGTACGGAGCTTCATTGAGACGGGGCCACGTGGCGGCCAGCAGAGGGCGATGCAGCAGCAGCAATCAGTGTTGTGCTGCACTTGTATGGCTCCCGCGCCTTCACCGACGCGCGCAGTGAGCGGTCTGGTGAAGCATGGCCTGTCAACCCCCTCGCGGACCCGCACTGCGTGGGGAGGCCGTCATCCAGCAGTGGACTGGCGGTGCTAAGTGTAAACTCACGCAGCGCGTATAAATATAGAGACGGGACGCTGGCAACTGCTGTGGCCTCTCTCTCTCTCCTATGTGCTGTGAAGAAGGGCCATGGCCCGAAACGTCTTTTCTTCTTAAGCAGCAGCAGCCACATCGCCAGATGGTTGGAAAATAACAATTGCTTCCCATCGGGCGACGACGGCTTGACTTGTCCTGCCTGGGTCTCCTCTCACTGCAGGGACAGGCCACGTGACCCGCGTGTGTGTGTCTATGCTGAACTTCTTTCGCACCGTACGCAGCCCACACGTGCTAATCGGAGGTGCGACCCGAGGCGTCATGGCCGGTGCCAAGTACCAGGCGCTGTCCTTCCAGTCCGTGTTCACCTACAGCAGCCCGGACTCCACCAAGGGCAGCGGCGGCCTCAGCCAGGACGACGACTTCGGTATTGCAGGGAATCAGCGGATAGGCAGCCGGAGTTTCACGCTCAGCCCGACCAGGTCGGCAGGCAAAAAATAATGAATCTAAAATTCACGCGAAATGCAAACGTGTAAAAATAGCGTCGCATTGTCTACGTGAATACTGTTGATGTGTGGGGTGGCCACCATTTGTAAAGGGATCCGAGCACCAAGGCTTGCCAGGTGTTGTAGGCGCGGGGCTGCGAGGTGCGGCCAGGACACGGCAGTGCCGGATCTCTCCCCTCGTGTACACAGTGGCACGGTGCTGGGCTTTCTCCGGACCATCCGGTCTTCTTCCACTTGAAGCCAAAACTCTCAACGATTCGTGACATTGTCCAAACATCCACGTGCAGTTTCCTCCACAAGAAAAGTCACTGTGACTTTCGATATAAATCCCCACCAACAGCAGGACTCGGGCCCCTTCAACAATCCCCGTGACCATCATGGGACCTCCTTTGCCAGTACCAAAATATACTAATAGGGGTTTTCCCCTTTTTTCTGGCAACAAAACTGACACCTTTTGCAAGGAATCATGCTTACATTAACCACATTACTTGCAGTCAAATGCAAACAAAAAACAATACTCTGATAATTTATGCATTGTCTTTGAAACTGATTGGTCCACACCAGAGACAGCTTTCTTTAGAGCCTCGTCTCATATGGTGTTCGACCAGATGACGCCAAAAGTCGCACAGTTCAAAGACAATGCACTACCAGAGTAATGAGAGCTCGGGGTGAGCAGCTACATCATGGGATCTCCGCCAGAAAAAAAAAGGGGAAAAACCCTATTAGTATATTTTAGTACTGGCAAAGGAGGTCCCATGATGTAGCTGCTCAACCCGAGCTCTCATTACTCTGATAGTACGTTGTCTTTGAACTGTGCGCCTTTTGGCGTCATCTGGTCGAACACCATATGAGACGAGGCTCTAAAGAAAGCTGTCTCTGGTGTGGACCAATCAGTTTCAAAGACAATGCATAAATTATCAGAGTATTGTTTTTTGTTTGCATTTGACTGCAAGTATTGTGGTTAATGTAAGCATGATTCCTTGCAAAAGGTGTCAGTTTTGTTGCCAGAAAAAAGGGGAAAAACCCTATTAGTAAATCCCTGTGACCCTTCAACAATCCCCGTGACCCGGACGGCAAGTGGAGGCCCGGGTGCTGCAGCAGATTGACAGCAGGGCTGCTCATGTACACGCACTCGCGACGCGAGCACCTCTCCCTGGCATGGAGTCCCGTGTGCGTGTGTCGACGCTGCGTATGTCTTGTGCTCAGATGAGGCCGAGTCCGTCGAGTCATGGCTGTCGTGGTTCTGCTCGCTGGTCATCACGTCCCTGACGTTCGTCTTCGTGCTGCTCACCTTCCCGCTGTCCGTGTGGTTCTGCCTCAAGGTACCACGTCCCGGCGTCACGAGCGCCCGCGGCGCTCCCCACCGTCGGGTCTCGGAAGCCATGCAGGGTTGAGGCTGGATAGCGCTCCGATGGGTCACCGCCACGCGCAAACAGGTTGCCGTAGGGGCTGCGGGGATCGTGGACGGCAGAGGACGGTGCAGAAAAATCCATTGTACTCTACTCGTATGCTCCCACTTATTAGCACCTCACCATGACGAACCCGCACCGACCATTATCGTGAAGTCTGGTTGAATAACCCCCACGATTCGCGCCGCATAGGGAGGCGTTAATGTGACAGTTGATTGACAAAAGGGATGTACATGTACACACGTGCACGTGTACACTCTTTTGTTTTTTTTTATCTTTCCAGCTGAGTTTGAAAGCGTTGGCGCAGTGCCTCTGGGCTTCCGTCTCTTTGTACAAGGTCCCCACGGTGACTGGTAAATTGATCCAATACGAACAAAACTGTAGAGTCAAATTGCGTTGCGAGAGACGAACCGCCCCAATCTACGGAAAGGTTGCCCAAGAAGACCTCGCTACAAAAACCACAAAGGCCTCGCCGCGTACGGGGGGGCCTCTCTTAAGACTCCGCCGAGCCGGACGGCCACTCGACCGTGACCTCCGCCCCTCCCGCCCCCGGCCGCAGGTTGTGCCGCTGCACGAGCGCATCGTGGTGTTCCGCCTGGGGAGGCTGCGCGCGCCGCTGGGCCCCGGCGTCACGCTCGTGCTGCCCTGCATCGACCGCTGGCGCCGCGTGGACACGCGCCCGCGCGCGTTCAACGTTCCTCCTTGTAGGGTGCGTCGCTCCTCGCCCGGTCCCCGTCCCCGCCGCTGCGGCGGGCCCAACGACCGCTCGGCCAAGCTCGTCGCTGATGCGGTTGCTAGGTGCAGGCCGGAGTCGCACGACTTGTCGGTTGTTAGAGGTTTGGCAGGCAATGTGCGGTCACGTGACACGCACGCAAGGCGTGTGGATGGGCGTCGGGCCTTACTGCCGTTGCGTGCTACAGCACAGCTTTATTTTCGTTTTTTGTATTTGTTTCCCACCCGATTTATGTAACCTTGTTTAAGTTTCTGCGCTGCTTTCAACTGATTCTTTGACACGGTTGTTTTTGCCCTGTTTTCTATTTTCAAGTTGGTACTTTATTTTATTGGATCATTGCTTTTGTCATTTGGTGACCCAGGTTAGTCACTGGGCTCCCTTTGTCTCTTGACTTCCCACCTGGTTAACAAACTCAACACGAAACTCATGCTGTGATGGTTCCCCTCTGAGCCAACCGCCAGTCCTCTCCCTCTCCGCTCTCCCTCCTCATGACCCGGCGCAGGCGATGACACGGGACGGCGCGCTGGTGTCGGTGGGCGCCGACGTGCGCGTGCGCGTGCACTGCCCCGTGCTGCTGCTCACCGCGGCGCAGGACGTGAACCGCTCCTCGCGCAGCGCGGCGCACACGGCGCTCGCCTCGCTGCTGCCCCGCCACTCGCTGCACGAGCTGCAGAGCGAGAGCGCCAAGATGGCCGACGAGCTCGCGGTGAGACGGCGGCGTGGGCACGACGCGGCCCGGGTTAGGGCTTCGTCCTGATCGCGACGGCGAGCTCTGTGATGCCAGGGCGTGTCGGAGCGCTCGACTCGCATCACCTCTCATGTCAACACGTACGAAAGGGTACCCCCAGTGGCAGCTGTGCCTACGGGGCACAAGGTGACTCGGCAACGGGCTGCAAGCGGGCAATAGTCTGCCAGTAGGGGGCGATGATTGCCACGTCTAATCCCAATTCAGTTAAATGTTTGAATTTTTTGAGCATGACTCCGACACAATGGACTTATTGTTTCGATTGGTGTCATGGGATCTATAACATCCAGTGAGACAGACGGCGCTTATTTTTGTAGTTAATACACCCGCAGGAATAACCAGGGCTGTCTGCATGATTCGAACCGCGAACCTCTGCAACAGCCAGCGAACACTCGAGACAGCTTCCTGCCGAGTAGCGCACACAGTACACACACACACAGTACACACACACACAGTACACACACACACAGTACACACACACAGTACACACACACACGCAGTACACACACACACGCAGTACACACACACAGTACACACACACGCAGTACAGACACAGTACACACGCAGTACACACACAGTACACACACACAGTACACACACAGTACACACACACATGCAGTACAGACACAGTACATTCAGTACACACAGTACACACACACACACAGTACACACACAGTACACACACACACGCAGTACAGACACACACACACAGTACACACACACACAGTACACACACACACTTAGTACAGACACAGTACATGCAGTACACACAGCACACACAGCACACACAGTACACACACACAGTACACACACACACGCAGTACACACACGCAGTACAGACACATTACATACAGTACACACACACACGCAGTACACACACACGCAGTACACACACACAGTAAACACACACGCAGTAAACACACACGCAGTACAGACACAGTACACACACACGCAGTACAGACACAGCACATGCAGTACACACAGCACACATGTCCAGCTTCCGACCGTATAGCCACATAGCAAAGAAATCGCACAAACCGAACCCACTTAAAGCGAGGACAACCTGTATACACAATAGTATATACAACATATACAATAGGATAGTGACTAGTAGTAGCCACAGCCATAGCAAGATGTGTACTGGATGTGGTGCGCCGGGTGCGTTGCGGGGGAAACTCATGCGCGTCCTGCCCCCCCTCCCCCGAGTCTCCGCGCGACTCCGGCTGACCTGGCCCGCCCCCTCTGTGCGGCCCGCACGCAGCTGGAGGTGACCAAGGTGACGGAGCCGTGGGGCCTGGAGGTGGAGCGCGTGGAGCTGGCGCTGGAGGCCGTGCTGTGCTCGCCGGGCGCGACCGGCCTCTCTGCGCCGCTGCTGCCGCCGTGCGTGCCGGGCCTCACTCCCGAGGCGTGGGGAGCGCTGGCCGGGCCGGTGCAAACCATCCTGGGCGGCGTGATGGCAATGAGCGACCGGCAGGCGGCAGGGCGCGACGCCGGTGAGCAACAAAGTCGCTCGATTCTTTCTCTTGGCTGAGGGCTGTCCATAATCGCAAGTAAAAGTACGCAGAAATCATCGCGCTCGTGCCTCGCAGCAAGAAGCGTCTGCGTTCGATACCCGACTCTGGTGCCTTTCCGCAAGGCGTGCACGGGTTTCCCGGTTCCCCAGTTTCCTCCCATTGCAAAAACAAAAAACCCCACAATGTAACCAGTATCGGCCTGAAACATCCCAATGCTGAAAATGTCCCTGAAAATTACTCAATTGGGTTTACAGAGCAGTAGCAACATCGCCCCTTACTGCAAAAAAACTTGGCAAGACCCTCCCCAAAAAGAGTTTTGAGACTCGATGAGGCTCTCCCGGGGTAAAACAAGCGGAATGTAACGTAGTAAAAGTAAAAAGCCAGCTCTCTGTGTGTGTATCTCAAGATGGCTGTAGGTGGCAACTTTAGATTCAGACGAGGGCTGGGGAACCTGCGGCCCGTGGCCCAGCCACGGCCTGCAACTTCATTGCACGCGGTCCGCGGCAACACGAGTCCACCACGAGCGACCGCTATCCATCGCTACGAGCATCTTGGCTGCACGAGACGGGTAATAGTGGTGGGAGACTTTGGCGGGGATTTTGCCGAGGATCGCTCTGGAATGCAAAGAGACAAGGGAGTACGATGTCAAATACAACTGCAGGTGAGGTTCGTCGACAGATGGTAGATGAACCACAAGGGTGTTTTACAATCGGTGGAATTCCGGGTGTTTGGGGCATCGGCAGAAAACGGCTGAGAACCCGCCGGGGTTTTAGTCCTCGGCACGAGGCACTTTAGTGCTGCGGGGCGTCTACGGCTGTGAGGGTTCTGTTCCGGAATGAACGCTTTGGCTCGGCGCGGTGCCGGGGTTGCGTGGTGACCGTCGGGGCTGCGTTGGGAGCGACGGGTCTGCCCGGCCCTGGCGTGAACGCTGCCCACTCCCCTGTGCCGCAGGATGCTCGCTGCAGGCGGCGAGGTCCGCGGTGCAGGAGGGAGGGGAGGGGGGCGACAACGGTGACGACGCGCTGCTGGCGGCCGTCGGGCCCCTCCTGTGCGAGTCGCTGGTGGAGAGGGTGGGCGCCGTCTACCGGTTCGACGTGCAGTGTCGTGACGGCTCCTGCCGGACCTACCACCTGGACCTCAAGACCGGTGAGAGCGGCACGTTCGTCGGCGCCGGGCGGTTTCATTCACAATTGATTTGTAGGTCGCGCGACAAGGGGATCCGACCAAGGTTGTGTCGTGAAGACCCTCCACCACCCGGCGCAGGCAAACGTTTAACGACGCGCCGCCCATTCTCGTGTGGCAGCTCACATAGGCGAGTTGAGGAACAATTCTCAGCCAAGTTGGGCAACGAGATTGTTGGTCGTGAGAACCGTCCTGCACCGCACCATCGGCGTGCGGATAGCCATTCCAGCTTCGCCAGAATTGCACTCAGTGTGTGTGGGGGAGCGGTGGCGCAGTGGTTAACACGCCGCACTACGAACCTGGTGACCCGAGTTAGATTCCTGCTCAGGCCCAACACAAGTGACGATTATTTGAACCGGTACTGAACCTCCCATAGGTACCTGGTGCGGTGTGTGAACATTGCCACTAGGGAGACAAATACGGCCGGGCGCGATGCCGGCCACCCACCCCCTCTTGCGCTGCGTCAGCCTTCATAGGTGCTCGCTAACAGCACTTGCCCCAACAGCTTGCATGGGCTACATGGGGAATCTTTATCGTTTTTATGGCGATCTGTGGCTTTACGGCCTTTGTTCGCCTCGCTCATCGCCGTGCGGTCGGTGCCAGGATCGGGGGCCGTGGGACGAGGGCCCCCCCCCGCGGCGGCCCAGCCTCCCGACGCGGTGCTGGAGATGACGGAGCACGACCTGGTGGCCGTGATGAGCGGGCAGCTGCGTCCGCTCACCGCCTACATGAGCGGGCGACTCCGCATCAGCGGAGACCTGGGAGCCGCCACGCGCCTCGAGGAGGTGGCCAAGGCGGCCTGCCACCTCTAGCCACCCGGGAACACCCCCAGCTGGGCCACCCCACCCAGGGCCACCCCCACCCAGGGCCACCCCCACCCGGGTGCCAGCCTCAGGTTGGGCCACCCCCACCCAGGCCATTTCCAGCTGGGGCCACCACCACCTGGGGCCATGCAGTAGACTCACCTGTAGACACAGTCAGCCGTAGACACTCTCACCTGTAGACACTCTCACGTGACATCACCGCGCCGCATGCAAGCCGCTCACCGCCTTGGTTCACGACGGCTCTCGTTCGTTCCCAGGCCCCCCCGTACGCGCTCGTCCGTCTGGTGAGAGTTGCGGAGTCTTCCGCTTGGTTTCGGATCCGACACGAGAGCTGTTTTGATTGCATCTTCCTTGAATTATTGTGGTGTATTTTATATTTACGCTATCGTTATCGTGCAAAGGCTATGGTGGTGGCACCTTCTCGCAGACGAGTAGATTCCGCCAGCAGGGAGGGACATTGTGATGTGGGTTTTGCCCAAATGAAGGTGAACGTAATCTTCACAATTCGGCAAATTTGGACGGCGACGTCGGCACGTGTGGCCTCCCACTCTGTCATGAATGACAACGCGGGATCTTTAACGTCGACTGTGAAGCAGGCAGCGCGTAGCATTTCCCTTCAATAAAGCACGCTGCAGTGTTAACCAGGATGGCCGCTCGCCTCGAACCGCTGCGATGGAGGTTCGACGGCACCACCGCTGGGCCACGGCCATCGCCGTCCCGGGTGTTGCGTGTTTAACTCTATTTATTTCTCCGTGGGCGGGGGGTTCGTTTGTAAATTTTTGTTCCGCAGTGGTAATGTTTGCGTACATCTGCACTTAAGCGCGTGCGTTACAACTTCAGCAAAGAGCCTTCGCGTGGAGTTTTAAAAATATTTGTATTTAAAGCTCGTCTTTTGATATTTTGCTGTGCGAAGTTTAATGCCGCGTCCCTCGACCGCGAGACTTTGGTCCGACGGCTGTCTTTCTCACCCAGGGCATCGCGTGCATCTTGAAATCAAAAATGCTCATGGCAGTGAAATTATCTGTTACTGTTTTTTAAATCAAACGTTCCATAAATTATTCCATGTCAAAAATGCATGCGTCTGCTAATTACTCTAGTTATGAGTGAAATGGAGGCGCACACACTGTTATGGGAAGGCAATGAGTAATTACACTACACATAGGGTGGTGACCACCGACCTATTCTCGCTAACACTGACACTCTGATGTCGACTGGCGTGGCTAAGCCCGGAGGGCTACTGCTTGGCCACACTGACTTGACGCTTGGCTTCACTCTTCATGAGGCGTCTTCATCCCGGACCCGAGCAGCCCCGCACCTCGTGCGGAGGCCGCTTATATGCGCCTCGGCGTGGCCAAGCCACACCCAGGCCACGCCCACCTTCGAGAACCCTCGAGAAGGCTCTGCTTCTGGCCACGTGACCTCCAAGGTCCCCCCAGGGCCCCCGGCCCCCACCTAGATTCGGTCACGTGTCCGGCCGGGTTCATACAGAGTGCCGCGGCCTCGCACGATCCCCGTGGCACTGACCGACGGCCTCCAGGCTCCCCGGCCCGGCCGTGACGTCATTCCCACAACCACACGTAGTGACGTCATGTGCGTGTACTCATGTAGTGCCTCTACCTGAGCGGAACTTTGATTCCTACATGCCGGTGTGCGCCGCTGGGTTTTCTCCGGGGTTGTTTTTGGTTTCCTCCAGCACGAAGCCATTTGTGGAGTCGGCCAAATATCCCAAGGTAAATATTGGGCATTACCATCAGTCGCGGTCATATTTTGGTTGCCTCTGTCGAGCGCCAAGTGTGGTGTTCTGTCGAGTCCAGATTCTAAGCAATGCCCTTGCCGGAGTTATTAATCACCGCTGCCGAGGAAAAAAAAAATTCATCCAGCCGGACACGAGAGAGAGGTGAGAACCAAGAACATGTAAAGACCTATGACAACAGACAACAACGTGGGCAGAGCATCATCGTATTGGCTGCTGCACCCTTACAGAAGCCTCCACCAACCCGCCATGACCAGCACGAGCACAAACCGTGTTAACCCATACGGTTTACCCGTGTCATAAGTGTCTCCGACACGGTAAGTACTTCAGGAAATTTAGTTAGACTTCGGTACAGCTACTCCTCTCGTTCCGCGGATGCCGACCCGTTCTCGTGGTTGCGCTGCCCCGCGCCACGTGGCGCTCTCCATCACACTGCCGGCTGATGGCGCGCCACGTGGCGCTCTCCCCGTTCTCCACTGTACCGCCGGCTGATGGCGCGCCGGGGAGCGGCTTGAGCGGCTGGAGGTCGAGCCGCCACGTGGCAGGTGGAGATGGCGGGGCAGCAGCGGCGGGGAGCTCCTCTTCGATCTTCAAACACCGACCCCTCACTTTGCTGTGCCCCCGGCTTATATTCCATTCTCCGAGGCTAAGCCCCGCTTCTGGCCACGCCCCTCTAGGAATCTTCGGGAATGTTCCAGAGGTTTCCATAATAGATCCGCCCATTAACCATTCCCCCAGATAGAATCCATAGTACTGCATGACAGTATGTAAATGTAACTCCACAATAATGCAGGAGATGGCGCTAGCGTATAACACCCGTATTCTTGTACAGGGAAATTGAGTTTTTAGGTCCATACGGTCTACAGCCGTAAAAGAAAAAAACATTTGTGTTTCTCCCTTGTGATGGGACTTTGTAGGATGAACATCTGAATTGGTATGTAATAAGATAGAGCACTGATAAGGGGTTGACAGGTATGCGAGCACTTCATGCGGACAATAGTCAAAATGTCACAACTTACGGTTGTTGCTTTTAAAGCGAGGTCACGAAACGTGTTCCCTCGAGTCCGCGTGGTGCTGCAATGGAGCTACACAATCGCACACCCGACCAAATCACCGACCACATGTCCCCCACATCAAGTCGTTGCGGATTGTGACTCGAAATTAACTGTAATTGTATCAATTCCAATCAGTCGATCCGACTCCCAGCTCAAAGTTGAAAATGTCCGATTTTATCTTGAATCAATATTTTGCGGTTCGCAGATCTCCATATAATAAAATCGGACATCAATACTGTTGTTTTGTATGCACCCTGTGAACCGCGGAATTACATTTATGATCGAAATCGGACATCTTAAAGATGGCTGTCCAATCGACTTTGAGCTGGGCGCCGGATTGACTGAGCGGAATCGAAACAATTATCCGCGATTCACTTTCCACAAGAGTCGGCGGGCTTTGTCTGGGTGGGATGGGGATGTTGTCGTTTTATTTGTATATGTTTGAGTGATTTGTTTACCCTTGTACTTTGCACTCCTATCATTGTATTGTTTGTTTTTGTAACGTTCTTACCCTCCTCACCGAATGGACTGTGGAAAAAGAGCTTTATAGCTCATCGGATTCCTCCTGCAGTGTTAATATTCCGATTCTGATATATGGGCAAAGACTCACCCCTTCGGTTAACTGCCAATACCAATCCCCATCATTCGCCACTTAGTGACGGTGACGTCACCACGGCACCTTTGCCAGGCCAGGTGCACTTTGAGGCCACGTGAAGTGTCGAAGGCTCGCTGACTGGAGGTCTCGGAACAGGCCCAGGTGCCTTAGGTTGGCTGACTGAGATGACCGGTAGACACACCCAGCTGCACCCTCCACTGTGCCACCTTGCTGCATTTTATCCGCCCAGTGCTCCGCTCATTGTTGCGAGCGTCACTCCTCTGCCCTCCGTTGTTGCTGGAGGGCGACTGTGTGGTGCCACGGTCGCGGAGCAACTCTGCCAGGGTTGCGACTCCCCCCTGGCCCCACGCCGAGCACACACACTCGAGCACCCAACATGCAGCACACACACGTAGTGTCCTGGCGGGGGATCGCCTGGCACAATGGGTTTTCATCCGAAGGCTCCCCAGAAGGATAGTCCCACGGTTTCCTGGCGCCAGGAGATTGGCCGACCCTCGCAGGACAGATCACATTGTGGTGCCCCTTAGTTGGCATAAAATTGTATGGGCGCAAAAAGAAAAGGTTCACTGGACCAGCCGCAATGAGCTATTCACGACATCAGGAGGGACTGAGGATGGAATATTAAGCAAGAAGAGCAGACTATGAAGAATCGCAGCGCCACTGCCCCCTCCCCATCTCGACCTTCATACCGAATACACACTCGCAGGCTGTGTGTTTGCCAGCTGGGCGCCCTTCCAGACAATGAGTAACGAGGGACAAGGGATGGCCGGCGCCGCCACGGCGGCACTCGACGGAGGACACGGTAACAGGAGGCGGTAACCACAGGTAGGCGCACGATTGGCCGCGCGGTACGACGTCACCCCGGCCCTTTGAAGTTAAGGGAATAAAAAGAGTATCCCGGGATGATTTTCGGACTCTTGTCTTCAACCTCTGGGCCGCCAAGGCCCACTCTCTGCCGCCCTGCCTCATCGAGCCGCTCGCAGCGTCCGTGTGATGCCAGCGAGTGCTGCTACGAGGCAGTGATAGGTAAAGTTTTCTCTCGTCCTTCTCCCTCCGACTCTCACAGCGTCCGTGTGACGCCATGAGTACAGCTTTGAGGTACGTGGTAGGACGTGTGAGTGACTGAGCACTTAGGCAGCAGTAGGCTCGGCTCTTCTCGCGAAATATTCCCCCAGGGAGTGTGTATTTGTGCCGCGAATAAAAGATAGCACAGAGCATCGGTGTGGTGTCTGTGATTTGTGTGTAGAGCGACTGCGGAGCCGCGACACGGGCGCGCCGTGAGGTAATCGCTCGCGGGTGTGGGCGTATCGCTGTGCGCCGCGTTAGCGTTGGCTGTGGTGTGTTAGTAAATAATCGCGCGAGGGCGTTCGCGCGCCTGTGTTAACGATAGCTGCGGTGTGCGCGGGTGTGTGGGGTAACACCGTGCGGCCGTGAGCCAGCAGTGTGAATATGTCTCTCAGAGCGGGCGCGAGCTCGGGGGTTCCGCTCGTTTGGTCGGCGGGGGCCCGGCGAGAGCCGGTCGACGCGGTGGAGGAGGGAGCGGAAGGGGCGGATTTCGCGCCCCACCTGCCTGGCGAGGGCGGTGGGGTGGATGTCGGTCCCCACAACTGCCTCCAACTTCCCAGTAGCAGCAGCTTCCATCACGAGCCTCCTCCATGGAGGCCGATCTTGACACCGGTTGACGCCAGGCACACGTTGGAAAAATCTCCGATCGGGGCGATCGCGTCGGGTGTCCGATCGCGTCGCTCCGTCGCAGCTGCCACGTGGACGTCAACGTGGGTGTCCACGTGGGTGCTCACGTGATCACCCATGTGGACGTCCACGTGGGTGATCACGCGCGCCTGCGCACTTAACAAAACGCGTTTTCCATCTTCGCGTTTCTTGGCCATCGAGGCGACCCGTAGAGCCGACTACGGCAATCGTCGCGGCTCAATTTTTGTTTCGCGTTTATAAAATCTCATTTAAAAGGTACCACGTTTTGGGGCAGCGGCTATACTAGACCCCTTAATTCGCGACGGATATCTACGGTTGCCATCACAGTTATAATTGCACGACTCATTACGCCGTACCCATAGCACTGCGTTTTGTGTTTGGTGTTGTTGAATTGAGCCGTTCTCTCTCTCGCTGCTGCTGCTGGTGGCGTGCGGGGAGGCGGTGCAGCTGGTGGTGGTCGTGGTGGGGGAGAGACTCACGGCGGATGCCTGCACCGCTGCTGCTGCATCGACTACCGCTGGTGCCTCTGCTGCGTCGAGGCGTGCGACCCGCCTGGTCGAAGCTCCTCGCAATGGCGAGCGCTGAGGCGACCCGGCGCGGAGCGGGGCCGGGGCCCTGGAGGGTTCTGCTGACCCGCAGAGTCCCCGACTCCGGAGTCGGGGCCCTGGAGGCGAGCGGACAGTGAGTGGGGGCACAGCCACACACACTGTACACACACACTGTACACACACTGTACACAGTGAGACACACACACACTGTACACACACTCTGTACACACACACTGTACACAGTGAGACACACACACTGTACACACACTCTGTACACACACACTGTACACAGTGATACACACACACTGTACACACACTCTGTACACACACACACTGTATACAGTGAGACACACACACTGTACACACACACTGTACACAGTGAGACACGC